TTAAAAGAAAAAAAAAAGCAAAAAAATACATAAAAAATGAGCAAAATGAGACAAATTAAGACAACTGCCAATAACAGCCAAGCTGGCACTAAAGAGCCAAATGAAAATCGAGGCTGGTGCCTAGATGTGATAGTTTGGCTCCTAGGCTCCAGAAATAGTTACACTTATATTCATTGAATTTAGACAAATTTTAAAAATATGTCTGAAGCAACCCTTGGTGATTTTCGAAACTCTATATATTAGGATTAATTTTGGATGAAAGAGAGAGTCTTGAAGTCTTTTTGAGAAAGGGAGGAACTCATATAGAGTGGGCCCCAACTTAGTGTGTCTTTGTGATTTTTAGAGTATTGTGAGTCTTGTAAAAGTCTTGTGGAGTCAGAAAAGTTAAGTAATTTCAGAGGAGTGCATGGGGAAACATTTGAGATAAATATTTATATCTTTTCTTTTGTATGTTGGATTTGAGTTTTATAAATATGTTTTGTTTTGTTATCCCTATGACTTATGAGTAGTTTTCCTCTTTATTCTTGCAATAAAAAGTAATTATGTGGTGGATTTGATTTGTTTAAAACTTCTCTAGTTCCGAAAATTTGTGATGGCATTTTCAACGGTTCATCATTTATTTTGCAAATTGGTTATTTGTTTTGTTAAAACCTATTGAGAAACTTACAAACCTAAGAAGGCTAAGATTTCCTTAACTAGTGAGTACCACATTTTACTTTGGAAAGAGCCATGATGATCGCCCAGAGGGAGTGCCAATAGATAGGGAGATAAAATTTCATGGGTGTAGAATTGATGTTTCTAGGTTGATAGGCTAGATTCTTTTATCAATTTGGTCAAGAGATTAGAATTAAAGGTCATTGGTAGGTCCTATAGAGAGGGCATAGTGGGTAATCTAGAGGTGAGAGGCTTGTGAGAGGATAGAAACTATCCAACACTACTATACATGCCAACACCAACTTTAGATACAGTACTATACATGCCAACACCAACTTTAGATTAGTTAATGTTCTTTATGCTCAGAAGAAGAAAAGAGTATGTCTGCTCCTATTTGTCACAATACATCAGTTAAACTTCTAAACATATGCAATCCTACATTAATTATGAATTATTTGCAAGGAGAATATCTCATTAAATATATTAAATTTTCTAGTTTTAGTTATTTTTAATCTCTGCATTTACTTTTAATTTGCACTTGTAGGAATTAGTAAACTTAATTTTTCACTTGAATTGCTTTTATATTTTCATAGAATATATTATACAGTTTAAAGTAAAGGTTTTTCTTATTCAAATACATAAAATTTCTAACTTTTCCTTGTCGAATTAATACCGGGGGTTTTAATGAAAATCTTATGTTACTTGAAATGATACGTATACTTGCGTAGTATCCCTAATGAGAAGGCTTATCATATAAGTTTTAAATCATTTAATTTATTTACACTAGCCGCTAAATATAATTTGGGCCAAGTTTTTTAAAATCTTTTGTAGTAAAAATAATTGTGTAATTGTGGCCGGGGTCACTATTCCAATGTTTTCCCACCATGTCACAAAAAAAGTTATGTCAAACGAGCCTTAATGTTAGCACATGTGCTTAAAGAAAATTCAATGCATTTTTCAGCTCATTCTTTCAAATTTTTGTGCCTTCTTAGGCATTTACATTTAAAGTATTATGCTTTTATAGGGTTTTTAAGGCACATGTGCCTTCTTAGGCATGTAGCCTTGTGAGGTCTTGGATGTACACGTGTCTTCTGAGGCTTGTAGCCTTATAAGCTCTTTGAGTGGATACCCTGTTAACCGCTTACTTTCAAGGAGTTTTTTTAATGAGAAGCATATCCACTACTAGCATCCCATCGAGAATTTCCTTGGGCTCGTCTTTTAAGGCATGGTAGCTTCCCATCGAGACTTTCCTATCATGCGTTCTTCTAGGGGCATGGTATATTCCTATCGAGTCTTGCCTCCTGATCTTAAAATCTATGGGTATTGTAACTTCACATTGAGTCTTGCCTCATGGGCTCAACTTCTAAAAATATGGTATCTTCCTGTGGAGCCTTGTCTCTTGGGCTCGACTTATAAGGGTATGAGTAGAGACCTTATCTACTACTACAAATGTTTGATTTTTCCTAAGAAGTTAGTCGAATCACACCTGCTTGACGATATTAGCCTGTAATGGAAGAAGCTTATGAGAATTCACGAAGGATTTTTTACCTATCTGAGGCTATTAATCAAAGCTTTTGCTTGACAACTGTAGCTAGAGGTGGAAGTGGTCATCCTTGAGATCGATTAAACCTATAATGAGGTGTTAAAAAATATTTTATGTTTATCAAGATTGGGGTATAGTTTGGAAGGGCCATACTTTTTCTTTAAAATAAAGTTAAAGTCATACTCAAAAATATTTTTGGTACCTTGTTAGTTGCTGCTTTTAAATTTTTGTCCAATAGGGTGGATGTTTTTTACATGAGCGTATAAAGCAGCTCATGTATCAAACCTTAAAGTTGTATGCTTCCTAATCCAGTTGAGAAAGAACTCTAGTATGGTGGGGGGTGTTGAGGACACATTATTTAAAAAGTTGCCCCCAGTTTGGATTATTTAGCATTTTAAAATTGTATAAAAATCTATCACATGCATAGGTAATTAAAGAAACACAAGAGAAGTTATCAATTTTTATGTGAAAAATCCTGAAAAGGGAAATAATTTTGAGACTTGTCTTAGTTGAAATAATCCACTATGACTAATGAGTACACATGCCCACTTCTACTGAATTAGAAAAGATGGAGTTATAAAATTGTTCATAATAAATGTACAAGATTAGTTCATCGATAATATTTATAGTTTGGTTATGATTCTCTATGATAACTGGCTGACTGTCTTAGTTGAAATAATCCACTATGACTGATGAGTACACATGCCCACTTCTACTGAATTAGGGAAGATGGAGTTATAAAATAATGTACAAGATTAGATCATCGATAATATTTATAGTTTGGTTATGATTCTCTATGATAACTGGCTGAAAGAGTCATAACTGATTGGTATGGAACTAACAGTCCATCATTAATATTTTAGACAGTGACTGTGGCACCAAATTATTGTATACGCTATAGCTGGAAGCCATAGTAGTAATTTATCGTGTGGACCATAGATGGTTGCATCGACAGAGTTGGTTAGCTATAGTGGTATTGGTAGGAGGCTATGTCATATTTGGTCGCATAAGCTATAGCGGTGAGCGGTTATAAAGTTGGCAGGCTGTAGAGGTCAGAGTTAGAAGCAATATGAGATGTGAGCCACGTCGATCGTAGTTGATCATATATACTGTAGTGGAGAGTTCTGACAATCTCCGTTGATCACAGAGGCAGGAGTTGGGAGTTAAACAAGCTCTAAGCCATCTATGCCATAATTGGTCAAGTAGGTCGTAATGACGAGTTATGATGACGTCCGTAGGTCGCAGAAGCTGGAGTTGGGAGCTGCACGGGTTGTGGATCATGTAGACTATAATGTGTTATATAGACCATGGTGGTGGGCTGCAAGAAGAGAGCTTTAGGAGTTTGAAGAAAGTTTCTATTTTCAGCGTGCACTGTTACATCGTCTTTTGGAGGCACATTGCACTATATGTAGGGTGTGTTATTACATCGTTTTTGAGATGTGTCATTACTGTATTTCTGATGAGTTGTTGCACTTTTTTTTGGGGTGTGTTGTTGCACCATATTCAATATGCGTTGTTACATTTTCTTCAGGGTGCATCATCGCACCATGTACTAGAGACGTATTGCTTCAAGGCACTTCATTATTCCACAATGGATTATAGGATTTTGCAATGTGATTCTGCAATGAGCCTTATCTCAAGGTGTAAGTGGTGGCTGATGATGGTTGACGGTGACAGGATGGTGGTTGTCACTGCAGGAGCGGAGGCAAAGTTGAGAAGATGAGTTTTTTTTTTTTTTTTTTTTTTTTTTTTTTTTTGCGAATATGTAGTGTCCTGTGATGCGGAAGAAGAGGTGAGAAGATGAGTGCTTTTCGCTGACCTCTATTGGCTGTTGTCGAGGCGGAGCATGAAAGATAGTTTCTTTCATCGATCTATGACTAGGATGAGGGTTTTTTTTCCCATGCAGTTTGCTCGAGCAAAGGCAGAGGGGAGAAGAGTTCTTTAAGGGTGTTTGGTAGCACACTTTTAATAAAATTTAGTCGAGTTTTTTAAGGGTGTTTGGTAGCACACTTTTAATAAAATTTAGTCATAGATTTTCTTCTAAATCGAGCCAAACACCTAAAAAAAAAAGCTAAATCCAACTCTCTACAATTTTGTCTCCATCTCGCCCATTTCTCCTCTGCGGCGTAAATCTAAATTTATTAAATTTTACTATGAGGAATATTTCACAAATTTGTCTGCCATTGCTTGGGTGCTCATCTCTGATCAGGAATTTAATAAATCCACTTGAAGTAAATCAACGCCTTAATGAAAAAATTATTGTGTATGAAGAGCGCACACAGAGTTGTGTGCTCTCTCCAATCACAACCGCACATCAACCCAAGTTTATTTGATAGTGGGTCTCACTTTTATTAATTTTTTTTTAAATGATCAATATGGGGCTGTGATTAAAAAGCGCACTCAGCTCAGTGTGCTCTCCTTAAGCAATAATTTTCAGCGTTAATGAATTTCTCTTTCACAGAAATGCAAGGGAGCGAAAGGGGATATTTGCCCATAAATAAAACGCCAACACGGGCCGAAATGTTTCAATATTTACTAGTTTTGGTGGTAGGTTTGTAATAGTAGTGTTTAAATATTAGATGTGTAAATACAATAATTTTTGTTGGTGTTGATTTAAATCCACTTTACTTAGTCCGTTTGGGCCAGTTTATTTGGTGTGTTGACGTTTTGAAAACGCACTTGTTCTGTTTGGGTAAACTGCGTTTTGACAGCTTATGTGTTTTAAAAACGCTGAAAACAAATATTTTCAGATCGCACATAAATAAGTGCGGTGACAACTTTTGGGTAGCAGTATTATGATTTTTTCAAAAAAATAAAAATTTAGATTAAATTCTCCGAGATGTCTGCTCCGACTTGCGCAGTTCGAAAGCACCGTCCTGTTCTTCGCGATCTTTAATGAGGAATGGATCGAAAAAATGTCACTCCTCAAGGTAAAAGCCTGCCGTGACTACACATTACTGTGTTCTCACTGCCCCTAATTTCATGTTCTTAAGATAACAACTCATATGGTCGTGAATTTCATTTCTTCGAAGGACAAACTGCTCGTATCTTAGTGGAGTTTTTAGAGGTGGCCATCAATTGCATTGTTTTCCTTAAAGGGTTCTATCCAGCGGGTAAATGCCACTAATACATTCTTATTTTCTCTCTTGACTTTACCTTTAAGATTCTGAAGCATTTTCAAACTTTTTCTTTGTATTCCAGGAGCTTTTGAGAGGAGGAGGTATATGAACGTCGTGGTTCAAAAAGCTCGGCACCCGCAGTTGGACAACTACATCCACTCTGCTACTTCTGAGCTGCTTCCGTTTATCCAGAAGGTTGCTGTATGTTCCCTTGTTCTTTTCTGCGTTTTCCTCGTAATTTGGTAGTGCAATTTATAGTAATTGTTTTCAATAGGCAAGAAAATGAAATAATAAAGTGTTTACCAAGAATTTTTCCTCATCTTTGATTCATCATTCTAGGTTAGAGGATGATTGGAAGTTGAAACTGACGATGTCTTTAGCAAATTAGAATCTCTGGCGGTTGGAAAATATCAGGAAGAGTGGGAAAGATGTTTAATGCTTATGGTTTAGGGTTAACAAGTGTTCCATTCTATGTAGCCCTTCTCAAATCAAGATCAATTTCTTAAAACAAGTAAATATGGATTATCACTGATTTATCCAACAAATGATAAGGATTAAGGAACAAGAAAATTAACAATTCAAATTGTCAAATTTTTTCTATATAAATATTTTTTATTTTCATGTTTGTGTACGGGTATAAAAGCGTTCTCAACTTTTATATAAGATGTTGATCATTGTGATTGATTTTTTCATTTATTTCAGTTAATATTTTTTCAATCATTGAAATCTTTGTTTCTTTCAACGCAAATGCAATATATAGAGCATTTTTAAAATATTAATTATTCATTTAATTTGTCTATATTATCATGGTCTAATTATTGAAAACATAAATTGCATTTGAAAAGTAAAAGAATTGAATTTAGTATATGTTGAAAATTATCATCGTCACTTAGGGTCCGTTTATGATATCTTTCTGTCTGCTTTGTTTTCAGACCGCCGCCATAGTTCTGTTTGTGAAACTGCTTTCTTGCGGTTTTTTAGAAATTTCTATGGTAGAAAACTGTTGTTTTCAATCTGAACTGTTAAAGTATGATGACTATCAGAAAGCTGAGATCTGATTTTTTGAAAATAAAATAAATTTGTAATAGCTATTGCAGTTTTTTGAAAAAACAGTTTTTCTTATAACAACTTCACAACTGTTTAATCAAACAGCTGCAGCTGCCGCAAACAGACTCTTAGTCTTTAACTTCCTCCTCTATCTAATATCTATAAACATAAATTATAGTACCATATTAAATTTCTTAATCTCCTTCATTTTTTAAATTTATACATCTTTAATTTCGTTGAGGGTCTATTTGGGGCAGCTGCAGCTTCTCAGTTTTTTAGTTGTAGCTGCATTGCCTCAAGAAGCTGCTGCGGGAAAGCCGACTGCCTGTTTGTTGCAGTTGTGTGAAAACAACAGTGAGATAACTGTTTATGAAAAAATAACCATTCTGCCCATGTTTAGTAAATTTTGTTTGTAACAGAAATGTGACATCAATATATTTGATATTTCAGAAGCAGAAATTCATTTCAAGAAACAACAAAAATTTTGATACACCACTCACTTAGCAATGAGTACCAAAGTGCTAGTAAAAAAAAAACCAATAAAACTGCAAGAATATAATGATGTTGTTTTTAACATTAAGGCGATGGATGCCACCTAAACTGTCGAAACCTACCAACAAGAGTTAAGTACCTCATTCCATGAAAGTAAATTAGCATCAGAAAAATTCTAAATATCCTTACTTCAAGAGTGCTGGAGCCAATCTGTGTGACCTTGCAGCATGCTTCTGTAAGCTTCTCTGTCATGTGCGTTAAATGTGAAGGGATGGGAGGTGATAGAGAAATGCACGAGGTGGGATGGCAACAGCAGCCATAAATGTCCCAGCCTCTATACGATTTGGCAAAATGGTGACTCAGATCCATATAGCTTCTTCTTGCCCTTAATAAAAAGAGTGCTAGTACCAACCTCTTCAATACATGCTCCATAGGCAATAAAAAATTTAGCAAGATCTGAAACCTCTGGCTCCTATACAACAACATAGTTGACATTCAGAAGCCCTCATAGAAAATGTGATCTAACTCCTAAATCATAAGCATTTTTATCAGGTTCATAGGAGCTCAAATTCAAAAAGAACCCTTGAAGGAGTTCATTTAGCTCCATATAGTTATAAACCATTGATCAACTGACCAAAAAGCAAAAATATTTATATTTAGATAAACGACAAGGTTCATATGGCATGGTTCATGATTACAATTGAATCAACAAACAAGAAGACAAGTTGAAGCCTAAATGTTATATTTCGTGCCCTCATCTACTTCTCAAAATATGAAAGAATGTATGAGTGCGCGAGGATCCCATCAATAATGGCTTAAGTTAATGTACGCAGTTTTAATTTTTGACTCAAATCTATAACTTTGAAATCATAATAGATATGGCCTAATAATTGCTCATAAGATACCACCTTCCTAAATAAATTGTAACAATGGTTGGACAAAAACACCTGTCAAGAGGAAAGCTCTCACCATAGCTGCATTTGTAAGCACAGAAACACCGTCAGCCATGGATGCTGCCATCATGAAGGTTTCAGTTGCTCCCACACTAGGGTAAGTGAGATGGAATGATCCTCCAACAGGGCCTTTGCCATTTGCACCATACACACAAACCTTTTCCTCTTTGTTTATCAAAGCCATACACTTTTTAGTACTTTAAATCAATATATAAAACCTCATGACACTGGAGGCAAGTTGAAACTTCAGTATTGAAGCACAAATAACATGTAAATACCCAAACCAAAAAAAAGTATTTCGGTAAAAGCAAGCAATCATAGGTGAAATTACAACTTTCATAGGTTAAACAAAATCACTTGGGCTCACAATCCATGGAATCCGGTACCACTTCACTTGCAGTGAGGAGGAAGAGGAATGTCAGAGCGCTATCCCAAACTGTGCGGAAGGGGATCGCGAGGAGAGGCTTACCTTACGAAGGATGGCTGGCTGGAGTCGAGCGCACACGCGACAGTGGGGATGAGCAGGCTATGTGAGGTTCGACGTCGATGCGAAGGGGCAGGGGTATTATCGACGAACACTCCCCATGAATGCGGGCGCGGGGTGCAATCCACGGCCCGCGTTCCACCCGATTCACGTCCCGCCGCGAGTGTGACGCCACACCAAAAAGTAAAAAGTTGCGGCGGCTAGCCCCGCAACGCTCTCATGCCGCGGTGCCAAACATACCATAAGTTTATTCATTTAGAATCTCAATTTTTATGAAATACACTTTTTAATACAAGAACAATGTAATTCTTAATCCTTTATATATTTTAAAATTTAAAATTTAGGGATAGTTTAGATCATAAAATAATCGGTTAAATTTCAAATTTTATGATAAATGGTAAAAACTTCTCTGATTTATTCATATTTCAAATAAAATTCTTCTTATGCTCAATCTACTAGCACTTCTACCAAATCTATTATTTTCTTAATAAAAAATTCTAAATATTTCTTAAATTTTAAACTAATTTTAGGGGTGGAATATTATATAAAATAATAGAAATACAAATAAAATTTACATCATTTTTTCATTTTGTTCCTCAGCTCAATCAACAATTCCTTTAAACCTTTTGATTCATATATCATTTTATTTTTAATTTTTTTTTACTATTTAAACAATTTAAAATAAATGCTCAATAAACATTAGAGTTAAAAAATCCTATTTGAAATTTAAAAATTACATTCACACCAGTATTCTTCAAGTTCATCTAACTTATTATTTCTACTTCAATGTTTCTCAATTTGCACACATTGCTTTTGATTATTAACGGACTTGCTCCTTTTGATGTCTAATCGAGCTCATCTTCCCTCCTCACGCTTGATCACTGCTAAGATTTTGCACGCTCGATGTCAATCTCTCAGCATTATACACAATATCACGTGTAGCTTACAAGTTGGTTTCTTAGCATATATGCATATGAATATCTCAGTTATATTTAATAACATGAGTTGATACTGAAATATGATATTAATAAGCGATTTTGTAATCAAGAAATCCAATTTATAAGAATTTTATGAAAGCATGGGTCAGAGAGAGGTGCCACCTTGGATAAAGCATCAAAGATGTAAGAATGATATCCACATCTTTCAAATATGGTATGTTTGCACCTTTTTTAATTATTTTTAATTCTTTTGTGAAAAACAAGGTCTATGCCCCACTTTATTAAAAGGAAAAAAATACAAGAGAATTAACAGAGCATAAAAATAGCAATAATAGAGAACCTCATAAAGGAACTTAATACAAAATTAAGACTAGTAAATAAAAGACCTAAAAATTAAAACACACTGAGTCAACTTCCTCATAAATGACAACAACAATATTGTAAAACAACCCCAGCTCCAACAAGATCAGCTCCAAAGCAGTATGAAGACAAAAGTTGATTTAGGAAATGCAAATAGAGGACACTAGAAGCAGCTCCAAATGTTAACAACAACAATGTGCAAGAATTTCTCAGGTTGACAAAAATAGTTCCAAGAATAGTAAAATTGAAACAGTTCCAAAGAAACATATAGATTGATCTTGATCTTGATGTAAAGACCTTCCAAAATAACAAAGGTAACAAAAATAATTAGAAATAGGTATATTTATGTAAAAAATGATGAGCTCAGAAAGATCGGATCTTACATAAACCATTAAAACTCCATTAAAGGACATGATATATATTACGTAAACAAAGTATATACAAACAAACAGTTGAGCTTTAATGTAGTAAGGTTGGCAATCTTCATATCCTAATAACTAAATCTCAAATGGAAGACCAAGTATAATATATGAAGAATAATGCTATGAGCAACTATAGAAAGAAATAAATTAAAATTTCATCCGGTTTGTGCATTTATCAAGATAAAAGAACCCATAATATATAAATCAAAATTATTTGGAACCGCCTAAGTTGGTTCAACTAATAGAAGCTGAAGGAGAAGAAGATTGATTCACCCCAAGCGAAGAGATGAATAAGACTCAACCTGTGCAAAATAGAGAAAGAGAGATGAACAAAATTGCTTGAGGGTGACCAGTCGTGGCGAAAGCGACATGTGTTGACACTGCGAAGCAAAGATTGACAACACTCGAGCAAGTGACCAACATCTTGTCGTGGAGACTAAACCAGCTAAAAGAACAATATAGAATGAGAGCAGGTGATGAGTACTCAATGTGGGAGGCAAAAATT